AATAAGTACCATTAATTTATTCAAGTAAACACACTTCTAAAACAGCACATTGAATTTTTCAGTATACCATTAGTTTTTTATTCCCACAAAGCTGCTGTTAATAGCATGCAGAGTTCGACTTATCCCAAAGAAACTTCCAAAAGTTTCCTCCTAACAAAATTCACTGAGATCTGAGCATAATTTAGGTCGATCTTTCTTTAAAGATCGTTTTAGTACATGGACATCATTTTCTAATCTCAATAGTGCATGATCTGACCCTTCCAAAAATGAAGGATTTTAAAACTAGTTTGTATCTAAGAATTGTACAACTTACAAGATAGGAAAAATTAAGGGCCTTATTCTGCCACCATCACTCCCACTGAGTAGTAACTTTACTCCAGCAATGGTCCCAGTCATATCATCTGCTTTTTGTGAATTAGCAGATCATTGACACTACATATGAAGTAAATTCTACACAACAGGTAGCAGAATCAAGCCCTTTAATAACATTTACATATATTTGAATTAGCAGGGCTGTCAAACAATCTAATTGTGCTTAAACATACAGTTAGACAATACAAATTTAAATATTTTTGAGTGTTTTCTACAATTTCAAATCTATTGATTTCAATTACAATATTATTTTGGGTTCCAAATATTTGCACTGTAAAAACCCCCCTGTAAATTTCAATTCACCTAATAGAAATATTGTAGTGGAATGAATCATGAAAGTCCTGGGTTCCAAATATTTGCACTGTAAAAAACCCCCTGTAAATTTCAATTCGCCTAATAGAAGTATTGTAGTGGAATGAATCACGAAAGTCAATCTTACAAAGGTAGAATTATGTCAAAACTGCATTCAAAAATAAAACAATGTAAAACTTTAGGGCACATCTATATTTACTGGAAGATTGATACTCCAGAAGGTAATCTTCTGGAATTTGATTTTAGTGGGTCTAGTATAGACCTATAAATTGAATGCTAAGGGCAGGGTCCTGTACTCCTTTTGCAAGGAGTAAGGGAAGCTGAAGAGAGTGTTTACTCCCATACTCCTTTTGCAAGGAGTAAGAGAAGCTGAAGAGAGTGTTTGCTCCCGTCGTCCTCCCGCAATGTGGACCCTGCCAAGGCTCTGCTTAAGGTAAGTTATGCATTTTACATTGCTGGAGTTGCATACCTTAAACTGACCTTCCTGGTCTAGTGTAGACCAGGCCTGAGAGCCTACAAGTCCACTCAGTCCTACTGTTCATCCAATTGCTCAAATGAATTTGTTTACATTTACAGGAGGTAATGCTGCCCACTTTTTACAGTGTCAACTGAAAATGAGAACAGGCATTCACATGGCACTGATGTAGCTAGCACAGAAAAATATTTGTGCCTAATATAGTAAAGATTCATATGTCCCTTCATGCTTCACCCACATCCCAGAGGACATGCTTTCATGTTGATAATTGGCTCTGCTCAATAATTATTCAAAGCAATGTGGACCAACACACATTCATTTTCATTATCTAAGTCAGATGCCATCAGCAGAAGGTTAATTTTCTTCTTTGGTGTGGAAACTACAGAACAAGGAGCACTAGAGTGTTCCTCACAAGACATCTGAAAACATATGCCACACCTCTTCCTTCACTCATTTTGGAAGGCACTTTAGATTCTTAAACCTTGGGTCAAGTGCTTTAGCAAGCTCACATTGGTGAGCTTTGTTTTGTCAAATCTTTTGTGCTCTTAAAATGGACATGTGCTAGGTCATCGTCTGAGACTGCTATAACATGAAATATATGGCACAATGTGGATTCAACAGAGCAGAACACATGCAATACTCTCCCAAGGATTTCAGTCACATATTTTAATACATTATTTTAAGAAGCATCATCAGCATGGAATGGTGGCCAAAGCATGAGAGGACACACAAGTGTTTGAAATATCTGGCGCACAAATATCTTGCAATGCTGGATACAAAAGTGCCATGCAAACACCTGTTCTCACTTTCATCTGACATTGTAAATAAGAAGTGGGAAGCATTTTCTGTAAATATAAACAAACATATTTGTCTTAGCAATTGGCTGTACAAGTAGGACTGAGTGCACTTATAGGTGCTGAAGCTTTACCTTGTTACATAATTGCATTAAAAAAACAAAACAACGAATCTCTTAGGACTGAGTGCACTTATAGGTGCTGAAGTTTTACCTTGTTACATAATTGCATTCAAAAAACAAAACAACGAATCTCTGTAAGTTGCACTTTCATGATAAAGAGATTACACTATAATACTTACTATTTCTTTTATAATTTTTATAATGCAAATATTTGTAAGAAAACATATATAGTCAGCCCAGTGCATTGGTATCGTATATTGTAATTGAAATAATATATAAAGATGTAGAAAAACATCCAAAAATCTATTACATTTCAATTAATATTCTATTGTGTAACAGTGCAATTTAAAACTGACTCAAAAAAAATCATGTGAGTTAACTGCAATTAATCAACAGCCCTAATCATTTGACATTTGGAAACCTAATAATTTACCATATTTAGAAATATTTAAATATATTTTAGGTTTGTCATACCTCTTGGAAGGCCCAAACATTCCATTTACACGTCTTATATAGGATTTTTTAAAAAAGAAAGAAAAGCCAAGAGCTGTCAAATTATCCATCTCACACATTTTACGTGATGCTATTTCACTTTGTGCTAATGAAGGTTATTTACATTCCAAATGAGAACAATTACCATTGCGTAAACTTTGTGTTGTCAGAAAGACTGAACATGGGAGCGGTTTCAGCAAGATACATGAATGTCATTTAGTCTTAAATTTACTTTATTCTATAGCAAAAATGAACGTATGTGTCTGTTATAAATCCTCTATTATAACTAACTTTGAGACGGTTACTGTTAGAACATTACTATTCAGTAGTGAAGCATTTGGCAGCAAATTTTATATAATTTTATACCAGATGCATTATTCATTTTTCTCAAGGGTAAAATATACTCTATGATATCTAGACAAAAATAACTGTAATTTGAACTTCAAAGCCTAATCTGAGACATATCAAGACACATTACATTTAATTTTCTCAAATATTCATTTTGGAAAAATAGCACTTTTATGAACAATTAAGGTAGCTAACTAATAACATTGGGTTTTGTTCAGTTACGGAATCTAAGAAAACCATTGTAAGATTCCAAATGCAGTCAGTTTACTTGAGAACACACTGTAGATTGCAGCAATGGAAAATGTTTTTATGTCTAACATTTTTGTCAAGTATTCAGGGATATTTGCTGCCTTTTATTACTGGACACATTTCTTCTTTGTTAGAACATGTATTCAAGCAGTCTCAACACAACCAGGAAGATGCATGTAAAGTCCTGTGGTAAACTATTTTTAAAATTTTGCTTCTATAATATGTATTCCCACCTGTTCCTGTGTTGTTTCTTGCATTTTTATCCCAATCCCACAAGCAAAAATCCAAAAGTGTTTCTTGCATTTTTATCCCAATCCCACCAGCAAAAACTTTAGATTCCACAAAATCCAAAAGTTAGAGTGACTTCCCCATGATATTGACACACCCCTTCTCCCCAGTTTTGATATTATATTGAATTCAGACCATTTTTACCAGTAAAAGGAGAAAACAAATCTTGTTTAAACCATGTTAAGATTCTTTAACTCTGGTTATAACAGACATCAAATCTTTCTAGCCCTTTCTTTAAACATTACTAGGGGAATGTGTCCCTCTGCTCATTACCCTCACCTGCTCCCCTTTCTCTGGCCGCTTTCACTTCACTGAGTCTGACGCTGAGAGTCTGTTGACGCTGATGACGTCATTATGTTACCCAGCAGGAACATTCTGTCATCCGCCAGGAGAAACTTTTATATATATAAATAAAACCTTTGTTCAAACTGAAGAGAAATCTGATTTATATTGTTAAAATTCTATTTATGACAAACTGAAAAGAGATTTAGTGTTTTCCCAACAAATTACCAGTCTTTTTTGCCCACCCAATCCTGTCAGCAACAAAGTATATCTTACCCACTCTTGCTATTATAGCAGCAGATCCTGTAGGATCCCAGGACCACTGCAGAGCTTTAGATGCAGGTTCCCAAACATTAGATCATGTTCAGCAACAAAGTATATCTTACCCACTCTTTGGTAAGGCCCAGGCCCACTGCAGAGCTTTAGATGCAGTTCCCAAACATTAGATCATGTTGAGATACTGAAAGTGGAACTCTTAAAGTAGGCTTGAAATACTAATCTGAGGGACAGGCACATATGTTATTGTGTCAGAATGAGCTGCTACCGATGGAAAATTCTACTGCTTGGTTTTCTGTAGTGCTAAGCATTGCCTAGAGTCTGATTTTTGTTTTTTTTAAAGAGGTGCTTAGCTTTTCCCACTTATTTCAATTGTAGTGGTGGGTACTCCAGTACCTAATGAAAATTAGGATATTAGGGCCCAATTCTCACTTACATGAAAGACACTTTGACCTATTCTATGGACAGATCCTCAGTGGTTGTAAATTATTATAGCTCCGTTAAAGTCAGTGACAGTTTACCCTAGCTGGGGATCACTACTAGAACACTGAAAACAGATGTTATTGTGTGAATGAAAACTAGACCCTAAAGGGCAAATTTTGGCCACAATGAAATCAATAAGAGTTTTGCCATTGAATTGGCAAGTTCCACCCAAAGTATCTGTACACACCTGTAACCTCCATCACTGATCATAAAACTTTTTGTACATTGTGGCACTCAGATGTCTAATTAATTGACCCTATATAAAGCAAATTCCTTTGACACATAGTTCATAATAAATGAAGTCTCCATGACAATTCTTTTAAAAGTTTAAATAAAAGTATCTCTAAAATATAGACACTTCATGAAGATATTAAAACAAAATAGTTTGGACATTTTAAGAAACTGTTATTTGGTTAAGGGCCAGTTGGTAGGCAGTTTGTAATTTGGGGTGAAACATCCCTCTGAAATAGACATTAAAATAGATAAATAAGTTGTTTGTAATTTGGGGTGAAACATCCCTCCTTCTGAAATAGACATTAAAATAAGTCGTATTCATTTTCTGGAAAGAGCTTGTACAACTGGGATGCATAAATTGAAGATTCTAGTATGGAATTTTTAATGTCTCCTTTAAAATGTATGCCTGTCTTAATTTATTATCAGTCTTATTTCTGTGTTCCAGGTATTTTATAACAGCAGCAGATGCTGAAGACAACTGGAAATAAAGCTTTCATCCCTCGATTAGAGTTAATCTTTAAAAATGTAGAATATCAGATTAAAATAATTAGTCATTTAACACACAATGCAAATAGCTTTTACTGTATGTCAGCAGTAATTAATAAGTTCTCTCTCAGTAACTTCCACTTTTCCTACATTTTACATAAAGCCAAGGAATCAGTGGCACACATCAATATTTTGTAAAGATTTCATGAGTTTGTGTTATTCCAGATGTTGAATGCAATTCAAACTCTTTGCTTTTTCTCCCCTTTCCATAGCAAGAATTTTAATTGGAGCCTTCACACATTCAGCAGTTTCTCCTAATGCTGTCAGGGCTCCATCCTTCTGCTGTCACCTCTGCTTTACTTCTTTTTGATCCATTATTTGCTTCTCTTAATTGGAGACCACCAGCTATGCCAAGTTCTTTGGAGGTTTTCTGAGGTGGAAATACATTCTCCTGGCACAAGGCAGAGACTACATCTCACTTTACATTGTGACCTTTGCTAGAAATGAAACCAGTTCCTTAGAAGCAAAAGGCTAGCACGCTGGTCCACTGTGCCACCTTACTTGCAAGTTTTATACACAATACTGAAGAATATGTTTCTGATTCCATTTCTGCATTTTTTTTCAATTCAGAGAACTCCGTTTGTAGGCATCAGGGTAAACAAGAGGACACAGGATGTAAATTAAGAATACAAATGTCCTTATGACTTTGAAAGATTACATGTATCTGAAGGCATTTGTAAGATGTCTTTTGTTCAGGCCATGTACTTCCTCTGCCGGAATCAGTTGTAAGGTCTTTACAGTTAAATGACTCCCAGCTCCACACAAGGTAGGTATCTGAATAAAATATAGTCCTGCTGAGAACATACTCTTCTTGAAGCTCTTCAATTCAGTGTTGGTTTCACAGTAACAAACACAACTTTGTCCTCATCTCTTTGAATCAGTATGGATCCCAGGCAGCAACCAATGCAGACTCTGTCACTCCAGAAGGAATATGAATATGTTTAAAGTTGCTTCATTTATGAAGAAAACATGGAACTGTTTCCTGCTTATGGGGGAAAAAGGAAATTGTATTTTCACTCGTTTCTCACACTCCTTGCTCAATAACAGAAGCCGAACAGAAAAATATAATACTTCCTTTATAGAAAAACATAATAACTGGCATGAACATTCTTTTTTCCCAAAGTACTTTGCTAAACATATATTTAAATGAAAAATATAATACTTCCTTTATAGAAATACATAATAACTGGCATGAGCATTCTTTTTTCCCCAAAGTACTTTGCTAACCATATATTTAAAGGGACTCAATTTGCAGTTCATGTACAATTCTCTGTAGGTTCTGAATCCTGGCTCAGAATGCATTTGGGCCCTGTTCCTGCGAACAGACTAGGGATGTGAATGGTTAACCAGTTAACTGAGGCCTATCAATTCTGGTTAACCAGTGGGGGCTGGAGCAGCTCCCTGGCTTCCATGAGCAGGGCCCCGCTTCAGCTCCATGGGGCCTGCCACAGGCAAGGGTGCTTCAGATAATTCGAGAATCCTGTCTGTGGAGGGGGGGGGAAAGGGGCACTCCAGCAGCAGAGGCCCCACTGTCCATCTCCCCTTTAAATCAGTTAATCTGTTAACACTCCAGTTAACCAATTAAGTGGGATTTTGCATCCCTATTACACACACATGAATAATCCTGCAGAATGTAATGTGACTGTTCATATGTATATCTGCAGGATTGTCGTAAATTGCGGAACAGGGAAGCCTTAACAGAGCTTTTTTTTTTTTTTTTTAAGTTGATGGTACCCAGAGAAGTGAGCTGGTTTATACGAATAAATTAACTGGCTATGAAAATATTTTGCTTTAACTACATGCTTTTAGCATTTTCTTTTACAATATCGTTTAAAAATAAAATGCATGCACTTTTTTCTCCCACACAACTAGTTAATACGAATATGGTAATACCAATATGCCAAGTTAATACCAATATGTTACTAATGCACTTTTCTAAATGGAAATGGATAAATATAGAGGTTGACAATGATGCAGAACAGCTCAATAGCTCAGCAATATAGTTTCATATCTTGGAATCACATCAGTATATTCTATAAATATTCTTCCCTTCTGGAAAGTTTCCTTTTACTTTCTGTGGTTATCTTCACCACCAATCTTTTGCATTCAGGATAATATGTTTATAATATAAACTATGCTGAGACAGCCTGTCTCTTCATGCTATAGTACTGCAGCTGAAGAGGGACTTGGTGAATGGGAATTGGCAATTCTCAATGAAAGGCCTATAACTCTTCAATAGGCTGTCACACCAAAGAAAGAAGCGAGAGCTGTCCCTCATTTTGGGGTATTTCTCTCTCACTGTGTTATTGAGAGGTCTGGTTGTAAGTCAAATGACTAAATTCAGAATATATATGTGCAATAAAACTGTCTTACAAGTATGCTGAGCTGACTAATACAAAATTAGCTTTAGATGTGGCTTCACAGAATAGTCACTAAATTTCAGCAGACAAAAGTTATGAAGCTTGTGGTAGGAATCTGTCATACTGTTTAAGGACTTACCAGAACATGAAACAGTAACAGTGCCGGAAAAAAGCAATAGCTACACTTGTAGGAGCTCTTTTTCTTTTTGCTGCAACATACTGGAAGACATAAAATAAATGATTTACACTGTGATAAAATAACTAGGGAACGGTGACAATTAAAGGTATATTTTGTTAAAATAAATATATTAACCTATGATTTACACTGTGATAAAATAACTAGGGAACTGTGACAATTAAAGGTATTTTTTGTTAAAATAAATACATTAACCACCATCTGTGAAATGTTTGTGATCCTAGGGGCATGTCTACATTACATGGAAGATTGATGCTGCCACGATTGATCTTCTGGGGTTTGATTTAGTGGGTCTACTATAGACCCCCTAGGTTGAACTCAAAAGGTGCTCCCATTGGCTCCATTACTCCTGCTCCTCATGAGGAGTAAAGGAAGCTGATGGGAACCTTTGCTCCTGTCAGCCTTCCGCTGTGTGGACAGCGTGGAAATATGACTTAAAATAGGTCTACTCCAGCTACATAATTTACCTAGTGCTCCTGTCAGCCTTCCGCTGTGTGGACAGCATGGAAATATGACTTAAAATGTCTACTCCAGCTACATAATTTACCTACTGAGAGTTGCGTATCTTACTTCGACCTTCCCATGTAGTATAGACCAGGCTCAAGTGTTTGAGCACTGTAATAAACTTTTAGTAATAAGTATTTCTTAATTACAGTAGATCAAAACTTTGTCACAGGAGTGTAAGAGAAAATATTGCATATATCTGAGATTTGATGGGGAAAATAACCAATTTCAATTTCTTGGAGCGGTAGTCTCTTGCACTGAACTGTCTCCTCTCTCTTTTTTCTGTAGAGTCAAGGGGAGGATGTTCAGTTTCATTAGTCACTCTGCTAAAGTGGGATGAGTTATTTGTAGCAAATGACACGTAGGCCTCAATACGTTAGCTAATTCTCCATGAGCAGGCTGATGTTTAAGAATCTGTTAGATATTTTAAATTGAGTACTATGACAATTTCACCCTAAAAGTACACAAACACTGACTGGTCACAGTCATGGAATTGTTTCTTCATGCTGTTGGATTAAAAAAAAAGAGAAAAGAGCAGGGATTTCAAGATGATGTGACAGACCTAAGAGAGCAGCCTGACCTACTCTGGTGGAAGGCAGGTATGCAGGGCACTGGATAAGTAGTTTTCTCTTTGCAGGGTAAACTACTAGTGCTGGCACTGGATAAGTGGTTTTCTCTTTCCAGAGTAAACTTCTAGTGCTTGCTGCAATAAAACAAAGGCAGGAAAACACTTGGGGCTAGTTAACTAGATTGCTCCCTCAGGCAAGTCACTCAGCACCTGCAGCCTTACAGCCAGTGTAGTTACTTTAAAAGGCCTCCCTTATGTAAGAAGAGGGGAAAGACAAAGAGTGACAGACCAGATGGAGAAAAGCGAGGAAGAAGAAGGAGAAGAAGCTGTGTATGGGCTGAGAGCTGGTTAACAAGTACCAGGGGGAAACATTTTGGAGGGGTTGTTTGGGTAAGTGGCCCAGGGAAAAAGCTGCCAAGTAGGAAGGAAAAACAACTGGACTGCTGCTGCTACTTCAGGTTCCAGCCCAGAGCCCCTAGAGTAGGAGAAGGGCCCAGGTTCCCCCCACACTTTTCCCCCATGCCAACACAGAGCCTATCACAAGAAGGGAGACCATGACTATCAGGGTTTCTTTTACCCCAAAACCATGGAATAGCCTGTGCTGAGTATGGCTCACTAAACTGTGGATCCTGCCTCCTGTGAAGAGAAAGGGGTTGTGTATAGGACCACAGCGAATCTCTGAGGGTAATATTATTCACCAGTAGCGCGAGACCCATGGGGCATGGCCAGAACTTTGATACAATAACAACATGAATATTCGCACGCATATTGCATTTGAAGTTGGTTCATGTGAATTTAGTTCAGTGCTTCACAGCAAAGTGAATGACAAAATGTGTTTCCAATTGCTGCTCCCCACAGAGATCCAAAGTTTGGGATTGGCTCAATACTATCCCATTTGCTGCTTCCCTTCCCGCCTGGCAGTCTTTCAGCACTGTGGTGTCTCTTGGGACTGACAATTTCTTCCCTTATTAGCAAATTACACCTCCCTTTTGAAGTAAGCACAGCAGGAAGAAATAAACTCATCTGCTGTATCTACCAATTTTCCCTTAAAGCTAAGGCTGAACCAAAACTCCCCAGGGGAAGAGAGGCCCCCACTATTTGTCTCCCTTTCCTGATACTAAGAAACTGGACCATCTGGCTCTGCCATTCCAGCAGAAGGAAGGCAGGAAGTTGTGAGGTGGGCACAGTAACAGCGTATAGAGTGCTGGAAAATTGTAAAAAACAACAAATAGTCTAGCAGCACCTCAAAAGGCTAACAAAACTTGTAGATGGTATTGTGAGCTTTCGTGGGTACAACCAGCATCTTCAGATGAATGGAGTTCTTAAAAGTCCAGTTCCAAAATAAATAGGGGATGTGGGGTTGGGGAGGAGGAAAGGGAAAAATAGAAAGGATGGAGGAGACTGAAAGGCTAGGGGAAGCCTCTTTTCTCCCCAAGGGAAAGCTGAGATGTTGGAGGAAAAAAAGATATTGTCAACATCTACTATGTAAAGGGGAAATTACTGATGGAAGAAGAAGTTAGTCTGAAGAGATGAGTACTGAAAAACAAGTGAAGATGAAGGCTATAATTCAATATGATGAAGGCATGTGATCCCAGGTGGTCTCCCTTGAGCCTACAAGCCTTGCATTTTTAATCTGCTTGGAAGGAATATTAAATCCATCTTACTATGCAAAAAGGTCATTGGATGGAAAATTGCTCCAACAGGAAACAGATTTTGCCATTCACTATACTGAGAATTCTGTATCTGAACTCCTTCCCTTGACATTACAAGTACAAAATTTTTCCCTGGCTTCTCAGTGATTAACTTTGCAACAATAATTTTCCTCCTAATGGAGTTTTTTGTATACAGGACAAAAAAATGTAACATTTACATATAGAGTAGGAGCACACTTTAAAGAACATACTCTGGGGACAAATTCTATCAAATACATTTTTGAGACATGAATCTTGCTAATCACTTTTTTTTCTCCACGTGCATCTTTTAGACATGGAGAGAAACATTAAGATATGATAAAATATTTGATTTTTTTCAAACATGACCTGTATGCAAAGACTTCAGTGAAGCAAAATACCTTATTTCATTATCCTCTTGACAGTTATTACACTGTGTTGTTTCATCACTTTCTGGCCTGGGTGTGCGATGTGTTTTCTAAGAGGAAAGTGAATCAGATAAAGTTAAGTAAAGTACTCTATACTGACACTTTAAAAAACAAATACTAATTATCCATTTAAGTCTTTCTTTCTATTTTCATTATCCATAAGTTCTTGTATAAGATAAACAAAATCCCACCTTCAGACGCACACATGCATCACACAGAATTCAAGTAGAGTAATGCATGCTGTGACAACAGAATTTAACAATATGTATTTTATATGCAATGAAGTATTGTGGTTTTCAACCAAGCACAATATCAGAGTAATAGCTCTTTACTGTTAGTGTGTAAACCAGTCCTACAAAACCAACTGGGACTTTGTGTGAGTGAGATTACTCCTTGAAAGGTGTGCTAGGATTGGAACCTATAGAAGTGTTAGCCTGGTCTACAGTTAAATGTTTTGGTGGGACAGCTATGTCATCAGGAGTGTGATAAAAATCACATCCCTAACTGATGCAGCTTTGCTAGCAAAAGCCGCAATGATGCTAGCAAATATGTCCTTTTGTGAGTATTAGTTTACATAATTTGGGAACTGTTATTATCTAAACCAATAAAATTATTTTGTGTCTCTGCTAGGAGGGTTTGCCAGAATAGCTTTTTGACCAACCTGAACAACTAAATACTCAACACCAGTTAAAACCCCTGCTCTACTCTCAACTTGGTGTCTTGTTGGTGTTGTCCTTCCTTCAGAGCAAATATGACAGGCTCGTGCCAAACCACACAAGGGGACATGAATCCTCTGATATCAACACACACATCTGCAGTATATTGTGACAATGCATTCAATTGTTGCAGGAATTTCCACTAATTATCAAAAATGCAACCAGAAGTGTTGTAACTCTTCACAAATTCACAACATAGGTCACTGTTTCATGTGAAATGGACAGTCTTGGCTTATCATTTGTAGGCCAAATGGAAGTCACGAGGTGGAAGAATCTTTACTTCTATATTCCAGTGGCCCCACACGCTTACATGAGATAGCTACTATTGTGAGTAGTCTGTGGGCTCACAGAGGAATCTGATGCAAAGATAATTTCTATAATCAGTTAGAATTTCTACATGACAATCTTGTGATCCTGGGGAACCCCAACAGAGTTATTGGCTCCCTGCAAATTGGGCTTGAACAGGTCACTGGTCATTATAGGGATGCCCAATGATAACTCTTGCCCCTTGCTTACATTCTGCACTCTCAGAAGCCTTCCATTATCAGGTCATGGTTCAAGTGGCAATACATATATCAGATGCCATTGATTTTTCACAATGGCATCCTTCACAAGTAGTTAGACCACAGCATCTCACAGGTGAGAGATATCCCTTCCCTGTACAGTATATCATGGTATGGAATATGCCACAATCACAGATCACAACCTAGTGGTTGCCCATGCAGCACTGATGCTCTGACAAGCAGATAAGACTTCTGGGATGTTGAAGAAATTTGGCATCAATGCACTTCTCCACCATATGTTGGATTTAGCAAACAGGTTTTGTACCAATATTAGCAATAGATTTTTCTTCTCTAGTCTACCTGTCAGATGACATTGTGGGTGCCTGGCCTCTATCTCCCTCCATCCTTTACCAATCTGCATGCTGACCATGACTACCAGAGGAGGACTTCCAGACAATTAAATTGAAGGCCACAGCCTGCCATCATGGTGATAAATTAAGTCATAAGCAACTGAAGCAAAAGTTTAACACCCTCTCGTGCTGTGATCATTAAATCCAAGTGGCAAATTATATTATATTTGGCTTAGTCAGGGGAGACTTAAACCTGGCATGCTGTGCAATCTGCAGCCTCAGTGGCCAAGAGGAAGTTGCAACAAACAACATTGTGGATGATAGCCAAAGCCATTCATATAACCCAGATGATGACATCTTCTCGTGCTGGGTGGAACATTATCACAATGCCCAGAACCACCCCTTCAGCTGCCACTTGTTCAGAGAGACACAATCTGTCAGTCACTGTGGGTTCAGAACCAGATACTTGCACTGATGTACCAATGTTGGAAGTGAAGTATGAAATCTGTAAACTGAAAAATGGATGATGTGCAGGCAGTGCTTACTGCACTGATGCTCTGACAAGCAGATAAGACTTCTGGGATGTTGAAGAAATTTGACATCAACGCACTTCTCCATATGTTGGAATTAGCAAACAGGTTTTGTACCAACATTAGCAATAGATTTTTCTTCTCTAGTCTACCTGTCAGATGACATTGTGGGTGCCTGGCCTCTATCTCCCTCCATCCTTTACCAATCTGCATGCTGACCATGACTACCAGAGGAGGACTTCCAGACAATTAAATTGAAGGCCACAGCCTGCCATCATGGTGATAAATTAAGTCATAAGCAACTGAAGCAAAAGTTTAACACCCTCTCGTGCTGTGATCATTAAATCCAAGTGGCAAATTATATTATATTTGGCTTAGTCAGGGGAGACTTAAACCTGGCATGCTGTGCAATCTGCAGCCTCAGTGGCCAAGAGGAAGTTGCAACAAACAACATTGTGGATGATAGCCAAAGCCATTCATATAACCCAGATGATGACATCTTCTCGTGCTGGGTGGAACATTATCACAATGCCCAGAACCACCCCTTCAGCTGCCACTTGTTCAGAGAGACACAATCTGTCAGTCACTGTGGGTTCAGAACCAGATACTTGCACTGCCAAGTGGCAAATTATATTATATTTGGCTTAGTCAGGGGAGACTTAAACCTGGCATGCTGTGCAATCTGCAGCCTCAGTGGCCAAGAGGAAGTTGCAACAAACAACATTGTGGATGATAGCCAAAGCCATTCATATAACCCAGATGATGACATCTTCTCGTGCTGGGTGGAACATTATCACAATGCCCAGAACCACCCCTTCAGCTGCCACTTGTTCAGAGAGACACAATCTGTCAGTCACTGTGGGTTCAGAACCAGATACTTGCACTGATGTACCAATGTTGGAAGTGAAGTATGGAATCTCTAAACTGAAAAATGGATGATGTGCGGGCAGTGCTTACCGGCATCTCCCCAGACCTGCTAAAATGTGCTATTGACCCTGCAGCAGAATCACTTCTGGCAATCTTTTGTCTGGTATGGAGAACTGAAGACCTGCCAACTGTCCGGAAGGGCAGTATTGTGATTTCACCTTGAGAAGGGGATTGTACTGTGAATGCAAGAACTACAGGCTGATCACCTTGTTGTCTGTGCCAGGGAAGGTGTTTGCACATGGTATGTTTGGAGACGGTGCTACATTGGAAGCACTGCCCCCACCACAATCCAATTTTATGAGGAATAAGTCCACATTAGTCATCAATTTGGCCCTCCACTTGTTGTTGGAGATATTGTGAGTTCAAGAAACCCCTGCACATAGCATATACTGATCTTAAGGCTGCGTTTGACTCAGCTGATCTAGTCATACTGTGAAAGGGCTTAAAGGGCGTAGGCGTCCTCACATTCTGCTGGACTCAATTAGAGAGCTGCACAATGGAACCACTGCCCACATATGTCTGTGGAACTGAAGATTGGCACCTTTCTAAATTCAGGATTTAGTGTCAGACTGTATCTAGGCCACTGCATTCTTTTGTTGGGCAATGTATTTCAAAAAGCAAAATTCAGGTCAATAAGCAATATGCTTGGTGATCTCTCGCGCTCAGACCTTGACTATGCTACTGCTGCTCTTCTTCTAGTACAGAGCCTCAACAGGTTTTATGAGGTACTCCTGCAAATGGTGACGGTGTCGGCTAAGGTTGGCCTCCATATTTTGTGATCAAAGGCAAAGCTGCCAAATCCAGGATCAGGTCCACCCGCAACTCCAATCTCTTTGAATAATGAAACCATCAAAGCAGTCTGCAGCTTTTGCTATTTGGGTTCTACACTCAGCAGTTTCTCATGTGGAGATTCTCCATTGCATTGTACTGCAGCATCTGTCATGGGTCATTTACAACACATATGGAATCAACATCTCAGCATGACAAAATTCAGGATCTATTTGAGCTGTATCCTCTCTGTATTGTTGCATGGCTTCAAAACGTGTAGTATGCTACTCAAACTAGGCAAACCTGGAGGCTTTTCACACTAACGGCTAACATCCTGTATTGGGTATAAAGTGGAATGACTTCATTTGGTTGCTCAGGTCTACAGATTACTGGAGCCATTGTCTGCAGACACTGTCTTGCACTTTTCATACACGTCACGAGAATGCTGTAAGATATTCCAATGAACAGGTGGTTTGTAATATCCGGGATAAAATTCTGTCCAGAGGCATATGCTGTATTACATGGGTTCATGAAGTCTTTTCTGATGTTGGACTCTTGGGCCACCAAACTCTTGACTGTGCCACAGGAATGTGTCAAATAGTTAATAGCTATGGTTGACAATTCAGCTAAGCGTTAAAAAGCAACCCCTTTTCAGAGTAGACAAGGCTTCAGTAGGTGGAAAAGCATTGCCAGAGCAAGATAAATTGGGACAACTAGGAAGGTGTGGGGATCTTGGTTCCTAAATTTCAGGTATAGATGTATTTTATTAGCAGTCTTTTTTTTTTTTAATTTGAGAGTAAGGGCAGGAGTGAGTTAGTAATTTTGAGAAAGAGATTCTCTTGATTAAGAACACAGGGGCCAATACATTTGAGTGTTACGTAATTCAATGCCCCTAGTTTTTTAAATCAGGATGTCTGTTTGTAACCTAAACAGATACTTTTGATATTTCTCACCTTCCAACAGATGGCTCCCAAAGTAAAGCCAATAAGAAGAGAAAACAATGACGCCAATGCTATGCTTATCCCATTCAGGCTGAGGCTGCTAGGGAAGTTGAGCATCTCTTCTGTAATTAAAAGCATGATTAGTGAAGACTATTTTATGGAAAAAAATCTCTTCAGAATACCACTGTTAACAATAACTATGCTAGGGAAGTTGAGCATCTCTTCTGTAATTAAAAGCATGATTAGTGAAGATTATTTTATGGAAAAAAATCTCTTCAGAGTACCATTGTTAACAATAACTTATTTGTGCACATAATATGGCAGCTCTCACCATCCCAGGTAACTGAGATAAATAGTGCAAGATACACCTTCAAAGTGTGTGTGGGGGGGGAGGAGTGCAAGATACACCTTCAAAGTGTGTGTGTGCGGGGGGAGGAAGAGAAGGGTATTGGCTGGAGTTGATATTCATGCCAAAAACTTACAGGAATTTTTTTGTTACTATTTCACCAGTCCTATCCTATATGCAAATAACCAATTTCCACTGATAACTGCAGAAGTTGTGTGCAGGCTGAGGCCTGAATTTGGACCCTTGGTTGTTTAGTTAAGGCAGGATGTGAAAAATCCTGTGGGAGTAGCCTCTAGGGTTCCACCATCTAAATTGCAAATTTAGCTACAGGATACTTGATTTAAACAGCTTTCACCCAGTTTTATTCAGTATCAGGAACTGCTGCTGAAATGGTTATGAGGCTACATGGAAAACCTCAGATGGAGTATTGGAAAAGAGAGGCTGCTGTGGTAGATTACAATATTCAGTTTCTATAATATAGGTCCTGTGTTTAACCATGATTCTGACCAAGACTGAACTCTGCTAGGACCCTGCAGGTGTATAAATAATGAAGTGAAATTACAGTCAACCAGAAATGATACCTGATTACTGTTTACTGAAAGAGTAGATATTGTATAGAGAAAGAAAAAAAGAAAAATCCAGCTAAACACGGCAGCCAGTTGTGTGGAATGGAAGGGAAACACTGAATACAGAGCCAAGTGATTAATCTGCTGTCTTTGAATGTTCTCCTTCCGTAGCATTTGCAGTTTCTATTATCTTAGGGAATAGAGACTGACTGGAAGACTATGTAACACATCAAGCCCTCCCACAATTCACAGAGTTAATGTACTAATCTGAATTTGGGAGGGGTTTTCTGATGTGCATTTCATAAATTCAGAGCCATTACTCAACCAATAGCTTAATCTCATCTGGGACTAGACCTAAGGGGTTTTGGAACCAGAACTAGACTCCTTTGAATAAACATGGAAATAATTCAAATTCGACTTAAGGGGTTTTGGAACCAGAACTAGACTCCTTTGAAATAATTCAAATTGCTGTGCATTCATCTTAAGGCACACATGTCTAATTATTAAAAGTAATTCCAACATGGTTCTTATGGATTACTCAGGAATAATGCAGAATTGTTTCTGCCCGGGTTAAAAAAATCTTTATTTTGTTAGCTTTCTTCTTTCTTGGACATTTTACGATTATACAACTAGAGTTTGGATTACCCAAAGCTTTGGGTGTTCCCATTTTTAAAGTCTTACTCCATATATTCCTGGAAAAATGAATAATCATCCAAAGGAAGGTATGTATGTTGTTGGAGATTGCAGACAGCAAAGAAATTATTTGATAACATGTTACTTAAGATAGCATATGTAACCTACCATAAATTCTCCACTTACTCTGCAATGCCAGTCTCGGCATGCATTGATGCGTTTATAGACTTTTTACATACAATGCTTTCAGCAACAGTTATTGAAAGTATTCGGCTAGATACACCGGTATTTAGTTACCTGCTACATTTTCACATTTGTTAATGTACATATTTCAATGAGTCTTAATGGATCATAAACTAGTTTGATTTCAAATTAGACAAAACTTATTGGAAAGTCTCATTTCTGATAAGAAGGCCTCAGGAGTTTTCCTTTCCTTTAGTATTTACACAAACTCAAGGAATTTGAGAATTGAAGGAAATACTCAATTAGGTTTGTACCTGGGGAGGCAGGGCACGTGGGACACAATCTTCTAAATATATGTCAGATCATGACAAATTCTGTTTTGTAAACTTGTTTAAAGATAACTGAGTTTACAGAAGTTGGTGGAGTGACATACTGAAACTAATCATGGCAGGTTTTATCACATATTACTTATTTCTGATATCTACAGTTGGGAAGGTCCTTCCAAAAAACAAAAGAGAAAAGCCCTGTTACATGATACCTGCCCCTTCTGGAGAGAAAAGATAGGAAACTGGTACAATATATGCAATTATGTTCTAGTGTTTATATTTTAATTTACATTACTCCCATATGACTTCTCAAGCCTGCCTGCTAGTCTTCTGTATGAATCACAGCACAGATTGCTATAGATTCCCTCTTAAAGACCTAAAAGGTTAATGGCCTTACAGATACACTCAGGAACAATTTACAATCAATAGGAGATGGCATGAAAGAAAGCAGAGGCGTTTGAGAGATGCTGATAAAGTTTGTAATGGGAGAAGAAGGAAGCTCAGATTAAGCGAGGGGAAGTGAAGAGGGACATAGTGAATCCTTAAACAACTAATAATCTAGCAGCATCTTAAAAACTAACAAACATGTATTGTAGATGGTATTATGAGCTTTTGTGGGTACATTTTGTGGGTGTTTCATCTGTAGAAGTGGATTGTACTGATGGTATTATGAGCTTTTGTGGGTACATTTCGTGGGTGCTTCATCTGTAGAAGTGGATTGTACCCATGGAAGCTCTTCAGATGAAACACCCATGAAATATACCCACAAAAGCTCATGACGCCATCTACAGGTTTTGTTGGTCTTTAAGGTGCTGCTAACTATTGGCTGTTTAAGTTTTTCCAGTTGCAGACTAACTTGGCTACCCCTCTGAAAATAGTGATTCCGGTTTAACTTCAGTTTAAAAACAATGGTCTGCCACATTTTACTTCCTAACAGTAGAAATTTCAAACCCAAAGAATGGTAAGAGTCACTAAAACACCTGAATTTTAGCAGGTTTGGGCCAACATATACCCTCCATTTAAACATCCTTAACAGTGACAGACTCCTGCAACCTTTAGCTATTCTGGGGATGCCTAATGATCTGCTCTTCTCCCTGTGTTTCATGTTTCTAAGGGCGGCCAGTTGACCATTTTGGCCACGCCTGAGAGGAAGGGAGCATTCCTTCAGTCATTCAAGAGACTCGGGAAGAAGGCTCCTCTGAAGTGCCAGATACATGTTTCATTAGTGAGTACTCATCTGGCAGCTGCTCTATGTCAGAGTGCAATGGTCAGCACTCTGGAAATAGTACATCTTGCAAATTGTGTGGATGCTCAGGAAGCATTAGAAGCTATTTCTGGAACTTTGCAGTTTGCAATCTCTGTAGGTGGCCTCTGTAGTACCATGAACACTATTTGTTTTTTTTTTTTTTCAAAAGATTTTGCTAATTCCCATGAAATAAGGGTAGCTTCCATCACTTGTGCTGCAGTAGCTACAGTTCTATTTGTAGTAGCTAGCTCAATGAGAGCTAGTACAGATATACCTCCTTGAGCTTGGAATTACACCCCTGCCTTGAAGAGCAGACCAACCCTAAATCTCCCCCATCCCCACTTCCTAAAGAGACAGCCCAGAAGTTATTATGGATGCAAACCATCTGGAAGCTAGAGACTGGTTTGTAGAGCCACAAGACAAGCAGGGTGCAGAAATGTTGGCAATCAAGAGTCAGTTTGCATAAGAGCCCACAGGGAGTGGAGGAAGTGCATCCTTAGTAGCTTCTCCTGTCTCATGGCCAGGATGTACTTTCTTTCTTATCAGGCAGACAGGCTGCCACAGGTTTCTCTCCTTGTGCCTCCCTCAACAGGAGCAGCATCTTTCACCCCACCTGCTTCCCCACTACACCACATAGTTAGTTACTCAGATAGATATGAAGTAAATAGAAAGAGCTGGAAAGGGACATACAGCATGGTATGGCTGTTGATGCAGAAAAGGCACTGAGGAAATAATACTGTTACAATCTGGGATGCTGGCAAGAAAGACTAGTTCCTGGTACCAGACCAGAAATTACTATGGGAGATGGCTTCTTTTGTCCCCCTGCATCTTCTTTCATTCCAACACAGCAGCTGCCAGATTTGGTCAGTGTTCCTTCTAAGCTGTGTAGCAGCACAGATGATTAATCAGCCCCACCCTGCCAGGGCTCCATGCATGGAGGGATCACTGGATTTGGTGATGTTACCAATGCCTCCCACAGGTAATTTATAAGGGCAGAAGATGGGAAACATCTCTCTTTCCTATCATTAGGACACTGAAATCAGGACTCTGGATGTCCACCCAGGTATTGCTCTAAATCTGCCACAAATATCTGAGCAATACCTCAGCCTCCAACAGGCTCTGATAGACGCCCCATGCTCCAGAGATGGGAAATCAAGCCCTTGATCTAAATAACATACTAAAAATTTGCTGGTTTTGTGTTCATCCCCTCAGATCAGGGGTTCCTAGGTCTAAAGTTTATTTTAAGTTGCTGTAAAGAGAAAGTAGCATCTTTTAAGTCTGCAGCAATTTTAATTAAGTTTAAAAACTAGAGAACACATACATTTAAATACATGCAACTTCATCTCTTAAATATGCACCCATTACGCTGGTAATTATACAAAGACTGGAAAGAGAGGAAAACAAGTCCATCTGAATGTGGCCTATAAGAATATGCTGTATCCAAATGATCACTTGTTTAGAATCATCAGAGTTGACACTGTAAATCAATAGAGTTAGTATCATGATGTGAGTTCACACACAAAAAAACCCCTTCAGTAGTAGTTTTGCAACTGTTTCATTTTCTGTCCACTAAAAATTAAATGTTTAGGCAGAAATGTCAGTTGAGGTCATATGGTTTGTAAGTCCTAAAGGCACTAGCAGATCAGAATGTAGAGATCTGCATTGTATAATTTTTGAAAGTCACCATGTAGTTGCAACTGTGTGGTGTTCTTGGAATCTGACTGAAGCCGGTCATTTCATTTTGGTGTAATTACTGATAATATGATATACCATCAGACATTAGCATGATTCATCTGCTTTGCACAATTAGAGCTATTTTCCTCTAAGTGCTCATAGAAAACAGTGTTAAAGGGAAATATACATGTATCAGTTCAGTTATTTGTACTTACTCTTACTGTCACTGCTGTCATTCCTAAGGGAGCTGGCAGCAACAGGAGGTAACAAAAATGGCTTTGTAACAGTGACTCTTGGATCTAAATAGAAAATGAGTGCCAGTATTACGCAACTTAAAATATAGTTCCCCCTATGTAAGGCACTTAGCTATAGGGCTACTCTAATCTACTAACATATGGTATTACATTATGGCTATAGGGGCTGGATTCACAAAGGTACTTAGGAATCTAAGCCATAGATTTAGGTGCCTAAATCTCATTGTAAGGGATAACTGGTTCACTAAATCCTGGCCTGGCTGTTGCCTACCTCATTAGGCATCTAGGTTTTTGCAGATAGAGTTCCCTATGTACTTAAGTTTCTGTCTCTAATCATCTTACTGCTGCCTTGATTAAAAACCTCAAAGGCTATCTCCTCCCTAATGCTTAGAGCAAACCATAAACCAGGTATTCACACGATCATTCATTCAAGAACCTAACCTGAGCTTGTTCAATTCTCTATATCATAAATCCACAATATTCTTTAGGGGGAATGGATAAATTCAGAGATTGTGCTATTTACAGTATACATTGTTCCAGACACTGTCTATAAACACCACCTTTTAATTCCTTTACATCTGCTTACCAGTGCTTAAAACTATATCACCTCAGACATCATCTCTGAATTGGCCCAGTATCTACAAAGACTTTTACAAAAAGATCATACTGTCCCAGTCAAGCAAAAGTAAAGTGCAAGATAAAAGACAGCACTAAGAACAGTGTGAGGGCACGTCTACACAGTAGGGCTAAAGTCAAATTAAGCTATGCACCTTCAGCTAAGTAAATTGTGTACCTTAAGTCGACATAGCTTAATTCAGCTTTTGGTGCTGTCTATGCAGCAGAAAGTCAAAGGAAGAACTCTCTTCCGTCAACTTCCCTTACTCCTCATAAAATGAGGGTTGCCATGAGCCAAAGTAAGAAGTCCTCCTGCTCAACATTATTTTGGAATAGAGGCTTGTAGTGTAGACACACACATTTTATTATTTCGGAATAACATCAGTTTTATAATGCTGCTGTGTAGATGTACCCTAAGGGTACATCTAGACTACAGGCTTTTGTCGACAGAGGCTTTGTCGACAAAGCAAGCCGCTTTGTCGATCTGAGAGTATAGACGCAAAGAACAGTGTAGATGCAATAACACCTTCTGTCAACAGAACTCTGTCGACAAAAGGCGTTATTCCTTGCAGAATGAGGTTTACCGCTGTCAACAAAACCGCCGAGTTCTGTCGACGTTATGTCGACATAACTCGGCGTTAGTGTAGACACAGGTAAAGTTTTGTTGACAAAAGCCCACTTTTGTCGACAAACCCTGTAGTCTAGACACACCCTAAGAGAACAACCCAGGATATTTTTGTTGATATAAAAACAATCTGAGTATGTACAGTGAAATAAATGAAGGCTCTATTAATAAACAGTGCCATACAGTGTTGCCCGTTTTTCCTACCAGGCTTCCTACTACTAGTATGACTTCAGCCATGACATTAGTAGTTGCTGTCACAGGCAATGTCTAGACTGCAGAGTTCTTCCGGGATACCAGAGGCATCCTGGAAAAGCCCTGCTGTGTCCAAGGACGTGTTCTTTTGGCATCCCTGTATTCCTCTCCAGGAGAGGAATAAGGAATGTTCCAAAAAAGGAGTTTGTTCTGAAATTTGGCTCTTTTGGGAAAAAAAGCGGAAAAAGATACGCAAATTGCAATTTGCGTATCTGTTTCTGACTTTTCTTTGCAGTGTAGACATAGCCACTGATAGTAAAAAACATGAGACTAATAGATCAAATCCTTAGACAGGAGTCTGAAGGGACATCACTTCACTGACTTCAAAGGAATTAAACCAGATTTACACCACTCGAGGAGCTGGCCCAACATAAATGGGAATAATTTTATGATCTTACTGTTCTCTGGTGTTTTTGTTGTTGATGGCAGAACACAGTCACTATGATCTGATGCTTTTGCAAAATCCTTGTAGACTTCAATGGTGCTATTAAAGCGCCTAAAGAATTCTTCAGGAATGAACCTGCCTTCTTCATAAAGATGACCATTTTCTTTTATGAAATTCTAGAGAGAGAGATAGAATTCAATTTTTTTAAAAGCTTCAGACAAAAACACTCATTCTGGTAAATCTGGCCTTAAGAGAAATACAGTGGACACTCTACAAAGGAATTCCAATAGGTGATGCACACATGAAATTAAAATTTTCAGATACAGAGTTCTGCTTTACTTAGATCTTAACCGGGGCAGGGGGAGGGAGGGAATTCCTTGGAAGTTCCTTCAAATTACAGAGATTTCTTTTCTCATTTCCATTTATCTAAAAGCCTTTTTTTTTTAAAGATAAATATTTAAGTCAAATCACATTTAATTTAAAAAAAGTAACTTGTGGCAGCAGACCATGGGGAAATCACAGATACATTTGGGTGTGTGCTAAATTACAAAATTAGGATTGTAATGGAAAGGTAATTAAATACAATCACCACCACAGCAACTAAATAATGCACCTGACTGCAAGTCAGGGTATCAGGTTCTACTTTGAGGTTTGCCATAGATTTGCTGTGTGTAATGAGCAAGTTACTTCACCTCTCTCTGCATCTCTTTTTCTTATAAAATGGGAATAATCTACTGATCAAAGGTAACTATACACAGAGGGTGAAAATCTTGTCTTCAACAGGATCTCTCACCTAGTACTTTTAATTAAGTATAATTCATTATTAACAAAACCATTAGTCATATATAGAGTACGCATAGCCGGGCAATGTAACTCAGAATGTGATGCTTTGAGGTTTGCCATAGATTTGCTGTGTGTAATGAGCAAGTTACTTCACCTCTCTCTGCATCTCTTTTTCTTATAAAATGGGAATAATCTACTGATCAAAGGTAACTATACACAGAGGGTGAAAATCTTGTCTTCAACAGGATCTCTCACCTAGTACTTTTAATTAAGTATAATTCATTATTAACAAAACCATTAGTCATATATAGAGTACGCAATGTAACTCAGAATGTGATTAGACACATTAGGGCGTATACCTAAAAGTAATTAACAAATTTAACTCTTTCATTACTCTTATTCGAAAATCTTGTCTTCAACAGGATCTCTCACCTAGTACTTTTAATTAAGTATAATTCATTATTAACAAAACCATTAGTCATATATAGAGTACGCAATGTAACTCAGAATGTGATTAGACACATTAGGGCGTATACCTAAAAGTAATTAACAAATTTAACTCTTTCATTACTCTTATTCACAAAAAGGCTAGAATCAGACTCCTAGACTGAGATTTCCTGAAGCGTATCCAGAAACTACTGGAATAAGGAAGATCCACCATAATGTAGAATTCTATTTTTCCATTAATTCAATATTAAGGTTTCTGAAACTGATTAGTATAATCTTACTAGTTTATCACAATCTTTTCACCATATTTTAGACTTAAAATTTGTAATTATGTTTAGGATTCCAGTGTAAGTTTGATGCAAAAATGAGGACTCATACTTATTTACATTGACCAGTTTCATTTATCTTGAGTATAAGAGTTAAACTTTTGGACTACACATTGACAACATACGGAATACAGTAGACTTCCGATCATCCAGCACCCTTTGGATACGGAATACAGTAGACTTCCGATCATCCGGCACCCTTGGGAACCACGGGGTGCCGGATTATTGGATATGCTGGAGTATCGGGAGGTACTCCGGTGGGGTGCTGAGACGGGTCTCCCGGGACCCGCACTGCATGGGGGGGTCGGCAGGGAATGACGCAGGGAGGGGCGAACCCTCCGCCGTGCTGCGGGGAGATGGTGGAAGCCCTGTGCAGCCAGCTGGCAAGCGGCGGTGGTGGTGGAGAAGGGGTGAGAGGCAGGAAGCCGTTTAAGGCAGGCAGGGAATGCTGCCTGCCTCTCACTCTCTCTCCGCTGCTGCCTCTTACAAGCTGGCGGCTGAGTTTCCCCGCTTGCAAGCTGGCTGCGTGGGGCTTCCGCATCCCTGCAACACAGTGGGGGGTTTGCCCCTCACCATGCCACCCCCCGTCCGCTTGCCTTAAACAGCTGCCTCCCTCTCGCCCCCTCTCTGCCGATACCTCTGGGCAGCTCCAATTGTCCAGCTGGCCAGAGCACTTTTGGGTTCCAGTTGGTGCTGGACTATCAGAAGTGCCGGACCACTGGATGCTGGACAATTGGAGTTTTACTGCATAATTATTTGGTTATCCTATACATTGTAATCCCTCTGACGTTTTTTAAGTGGTTATACCTAAGACCAAGATTTTTGTCACAGATATTTTAATACAAGTCAGACAGGTCATGTGCAATAAACAAAAAATCATGGATGCCTGGAACCTGTACATGATATGTAATAAAAATATTCGGGACAAAATGGGTTGGGAGAAAGGTCCAATATGCATCACTGTTAGGGCTCAAGGTTCCTCACACTGCCCTGCAGTGGTAAGAGACTGCAAAGGCCCCAACTCAAGAGCCCGGAAGGGGCCCCCACCACTTGTAGCTTCCTGGAGCTGCTGTCTGAGCGTTCTCTCAGGGCAGCTGGGAGCTGCAGATCTTGGTGGACAGCTCCAGCCGTGCCACCCCATGGCTGAAGGCATGGATGGCTCTGGAAGTCACAGATTCCATGACTTCATGATCTATATGAAAAAAATCATAATCTTAGCTTATACATTTTCTCACTTGATATGGCTAATAGCTAACATCTCTACATTGGCCAATTCAATACATCCTTAAAGGGGAAGTAGTAGTTGCATTGAAGAGGAATTGAAACAAAGAACACAGAACCTAAAGCAGCCTGGGTCACAGGGATGTTATGGGTTTTTTGTCACCATATCAACCCATGTACTCTGCTACAAAAATTCCTGTATAAAATTCTAATGTAAAGGGGGGAAACTTTTAGAAATGTACCTTATTTTTTTCAGAATCAAGACATAATATAATATCATTGATTATCCTTGTTAGATTATTGATGATTGAATAGTTGCTTAAAACATCAGACATATCTGAAAATTTTTGCAGAAGATTATGCAGACTCCTTAAAAACTCAGGCACCATCAAATGCAGCCAACAGTGATTAGGCTGTTAGGGAATATAAAAAAGAAGAGAGGCAGATTAAACACCACACTTAACAAATTTTTGCATAAGTAACTCAGAGTTTAGAAGTAGATTAAGTTGTTCCTTCCAATTTGCATCATCTTGCACTTGTCTAAATTGAAATTTAACTGACATTTTGCCTGCTGTTCTCATGAGTTCCTCCTTTGGTACCCCGTACAATCCTTCTTGAACTTGTCTTACTTAATTATGTTATCAGCAAAGGTTGTAAGGGTGATACCCTTCTTCCAGTTTGGGAATAAATGTCATCCCTCGCTTTGAATATCTGATCTGTGGGCTACTCCAGGATTAACCTCTTTTCACGCTGTAACTGACCATGTATTCATACTCTTTCATATGATATCTGCCTAGTTTTTTTTTAAAACGACTATTCCTTTCATATGATATCTGCCTAGTTTTTTTTAAACAACTATTTATTTGACAATTTTCTTCCATTCTTCAAAATGCCCCTCATCTTCATTTCACCACTGTTGCTCCCCTACACTTATATCTCACCTTAAATCAAGAAGGATTTTTGAGTTAAAGTTTCTATTCTGAAAAGTAAGTTCCTAAACTTTGACATTGTGGGATTCCACAATTGTTTTCACAATTTCTAAGCAATTTTATATATCATCATCTTCATCAACAACAACCATGGGCTCAACGCTCGTTGGTGTCCGATGCCTCCTTCACTATTTCTTTCCATCTTTCCCTGTCCAGTGTGGAGTGGCTTAGTTTCTGTAGACTAGCTCCACAGCAATCTATTGTATCATCTACACATTCTATGTAGGGTCTACCTCTCCTATTTGGACCATCCATTATGCTAAATACCAGGGTCTTTATTTTTCGCTCGTTGTTCATTCTGCAGATATGCCCAAATAGCTGTAACTTCCGTTGTATAACCTTTTGCAGTAGGTTCTCTTATGGCTATATCTTCCTAAATAATTCCTCATTGGTGACCTTCTACATCCATCCTATTCTCAGGATCTTTCTATGACAACTCCTCTTGAATGCCAATATCCTTCTCTTCAAATCTTTTGTTATCACCCATGTCTCACATCTGTACAACATGAGTTTACAAGCAATTGCTTCCCCTTTCAGCCTTTTCTTTTTTTTAACTAAATGACAACCCTGCAAACTCACCTTGGGTCTAAAAGTCAATCTCAGGTCTTTCTCATGTACTCTAACCAATAAAAAAAGGATCAAGAGGCTAAATTATGACCCCAATTATAGCTGTGCTGTGACAGTCTTCAAATCATGCTCTAAGTGATACCTGTGCAATTCCAAGTCAGAGGGCTTGCTTTGCATAGGTTTAGCTGTCTGCTTCTGTAACTGGAATGTAGTAAATACTTCCTGTACATTAACAGGACGAAATAAAATATAGCATACTTGCTTAGCTGTGTTGGCTCTACAGGATTAATACAAGTAAACAGTAAAGAAAACCTAAGTCATTATGCTAAATAGACATACCTAAATATATACTGGCCATATATCCTGTTCAATGAGAAAGGGGCCAGAGGTATATACTAACTTTATATATAGGAATCTCATCACAACAAACTATGCCTTCATCATACAATGCTCTATTACACATTATAGGAAAGATTTTAAAAAGTGAATAATGTGGAGATATCAGTACAGTAAGTAAAGCACTAGAATTTGTTTAGCATAATAAGATATCCCAGTCATTGAGAAAGTTGCCATGGAATATTTAGTGACCACAAGTGGTCAAGATTTTGAATCTCACATGGAAGATGCATCTTTAGTAGCACAGTACCTGTCTCTAAAACTGCTTGCAGTGCCTTGCATGATAGCTAGAGTTCTTCCATCCAAATACTGAATTGCCCTGATTTTCTTCGCCTTGTGAGATTATCACAATACTATGTGTTATATATGGTATTCCTTGTATGTGCAACATTTCATGTTGTGTTCAATCAGCATTACTTAGGGCTGCCTGCTTTTATAACCTAATTTACGTCATTACCATTTAAGGATATTGTTCACCTTTCTGCATTTTTATGGGGGAGAGACATGCATGCCTTATAAGACTGAATCAACTATTGAGCCATCTTTATGATTGGAGAACAGGTTCACATTTACAGTTTAGCTTTACCGTAGTCTTCACTGTTATTTTTGTAAAAAGAAACCAATACGCACTATTATAGTATAAACTCCTTATAAGAGTCCCCATGTGAGGATATAACAAGCAGCAACATGTAATGATGTTGCTGTGCTGGCTCCAGGGTATTAGAGAGACAAGTTAGGTGACGAAATAGCTTTTATTGAACCAGTTTCTGTTGGTGAGAGAAGGTTTGAGCTTACACAGTGTTCTTCTTCAGCTCTGGGAATGGGAAATGTGACGTTTGGGGCACTGTGGAATTGACAAAGGTTGGCCTTGCCTCTCAGCTCCTTTTGTAGAGAAGAGCAAACAAGAGAAGCAGCAATAAGCAGGAATAAGTAGAATCAGAGGCACTGGAAAAATATAGTGGGGTGCTGACAGCCATTGGACCAAAAACTGTAAGCTCTGTATATAGTGGAAACCACTTCAAGCCAGGGTGCTGCAGCAGCCCCCAAATCATAGTTCCAGCACCTATGAATAGGTTGTTGATCTTTATTTAGTAGTATGGACAGCTACGATACTGTGTCCTTTCACCCTACGCCCATTGGCCCAGATAGCAAAGTTAGTGCCGGTAATGAGCTACCACTAGAACAGCATTAGAAGCAATATGTTGTAGCGTAGAATACAAAAATTCTGTGTGACCAGTGTGGTTCTGTTTTGTTGCTTGTTTATTTTAATAAGTGCGATCTCTAGGAGCGTCATAAGGGGCTCTGAGTTATAGTGCTGTCACCAAGCTGATGATATACAGCTCTAAGTTTCCTGTTCATCTAAGTTAAGATATGGTGTCATGGATGGTCGGTAAAGGTAGGGCTGGGGGAGGCAAGCCCCTAGTCCCACCTGCAGCCTGCCCCTTCTACCAAGGCCCCGCTCCCATGAGAGCCAAGTTGCCTCTCTACCCCCCCTCACCATCACCATGGGGAAGTGGAGCAGCGTGCCGCCACCGCCCCATTCTGTCCCCTCACCATTGGGAAGGCGGAGGGCACACAGCCCCAGCCTCCCCAGCCCCAGAGCACTGGGAAGGCAGGTGCTAGGGGGCAGCAACACTCCGCTGCCAATATGCTTACAGTAGGTGTTCCAGGGGGGCGGAGTGTTGGTGGGGCCAGGCTGGCCATTTGGGAAGGCAATGTCTCCTCCCACTTAGCATACCAGCCATCCATGTATGTTATTTCCTTGCTTTCTCAGTAGGGAGAGTCAAACATAGGAATGAGAATAAGCTCGGTGAAGTGTGTCCAAAAAACACAGACGTGATAACAGTTGAAAAAGAAAAACAAATAATGGAATTGAAGAATTTAGCACTGCTTCATCTGTACTAGGTATTTCAGCCCTTAACACAGTTTTACATCTCTGGGTATTTATTACCTAAATGCTCTTGTACTCCCAGGAAATAGCAGAAACAGCTTTTTATCTTTTTGCATTTAGCTAAGAGATTGCAGTCTCTCTTTATTGGTTCAGACTGTGATTTTTACCTCAAGGTTAGACTTCCGCAATGCACTCTATTCGGATCTACTCTTAGAGCTACTCAGATACTTCATCTAGTACATAATGCAAGAACTCTTGTGCTTAATGGAATTGGTCAGCTTGAGTACGTTACATGCACTGCATTGGCTTCCCATCTGCTTTATATGCAATTTACTTTGCTACTTTTAATCTATAAAACTTGAAGCTGCTACACTAGATACCATTTCACACTTTATGCACCATATAAAGTGTCTGATAAAGTAAGGCATTTTCCTCAATCCCTAGATGTGCACTCTTCAAGTCTGAATGCAGGACATTTGCTGGAGAGACTCCAGCTATGGGTTTCTTTGCTTGCAAGAATCTGTCAGAACCCATATTAAAGCCCATTTACTCATCCACCCATTTGCCAGAAGCCTCTAAACTGAGGCATTGTCTTTTTCTATTTATGTCTTGGTGAGTTAGTATGCTGCTCATTGTTAATATATATGGGTATGTCTACACTACCCCGCTAGTTCGAACTAGCGGGGGAGTGTAGACATACCCATATATATTAACAATGAGCAGCATACTAACTCACCAAGACATAAATAGAAAAAGACAATGCCTCAGTTTAGAGGCTTCTGGCAAATGGGTGGATGAGTAAATGGGCTTTAATATGGGTTCTGACAGATTCTTGCAAGCAAAGAAACCCATAGCTGGAGTCTCTCCAGCAAATGTCCTGCATTCAGACTTGAAGAGTGCACATCTAGGGATTGAGGAAAATGCCTTACTTTATCAGACACTTCATATGGTGCATAAAGTGTGAAATGGTATCTAGTGTAGCAGCTTCAAGTTTTATAGATTAAAAGTAGCAAAGTAAATTGCATATAAAGCAGATGGGAAGCCAATGCAGTGGGGAAATTCAAATCCTGGGCTTCATTTGCAAGTGCGGTATGCCTACATTACCCCGCTAGTTCGAACTAGCGGGGTAGTGTAGACATACCCTATGGATGTTAGTTTTTACATGTGCAGCCAGATGCCATGGCAATGAAAGTACTGTAGAATCATAGAATCCTAGGGCTGGAAGAGATCTCAGGAGGTCATCGAATCCAGCCCGTGCCCAAAGTAGGACCAACCCCAACTAAATCATTCCAACCAGGGCTTTGTCAAGCCGAGACTTAAAAACCTTTAGGGATGGAGATTCTATCACCTCCCTAGGTAACCCATTCCAGTATTTCACCACCCTCCTAGCGAAATAGTTTTTCCTAATATCCAACCTACACCTCTCCCACTATAACCATTGTTTACTGAGAACAGCCTCTCTCCATCCTCTTTGGAACCTCCCTTCAGGAAGTTGAAGGCTGCTATCAAATCCCCCCTCACTCTTCTCTTCTGCAGACTAAATAAGACCAGATCCCTCAGCCTCTCCTTGTAGGTCAAGTGCTCCAGACCCCTAATCATTTTGTTTACCCTCCGCTGGACCCTCTCCAATGCATCCACATCCTTTCTGTAGTGGGGGGCCCAGAACTGGATGCAATAGTCCAGATATTAATAAAAGGTGTTGTGTGTTTGAACTGCTTGTTGGATGGAGATGCCTTGCCCTTGGGAAATTCCTAAAACTGATTACCATAGCACAATATTCCAGATGTGGCCCGATAAAGGGGAATAATAACTTCTTTAGATCTGCTGGCACTGCTCCTCCTAATATTCCATTAGCCTTCTTGGCTACAAGGGCACACTGGTTGACTCTTGTACACAGCTTCACATCCACTGTAATCCCCAGGTCCTTTTCTTCTGAACTGCTACCTAGCAAGTCGGTCCCCAGCCTGTAACAATGCTTTGGATTCTTCCATCCCAAGTGCAGGACTCTGCACTTGTCCTTGTTGAACCTTGTCAGATTTCGTTTGGCCCAATCCTCTAATCTGTCTAGGTCACTCTGGATCCTATCCCTATCTTCCAATGTATCTCCCTTTCACTGTGTCATCCGCAAACTTGATGAGGGTGCAATCCATCCCCATATCCAGGTCATTACTGAAGATGTTGAATAAAACCAGCCTTAGAACCGATCCTTGGGGCACTCCACTTGAAACCAACCACCAACCAGACATCAAGCCACTGATCACTACCTGTTGGGCCCCACAATTTAGCCAGCTTTCTATCCACCTTACAGTCCATTTATCCAATCTTTACATTCAAAGTCTGCATGTTTTATGGCCATCAATTCCTAAAGGCAATGATACTGAAAGGAAATTTGTTGGGCGAAAGCAAAACACCATTCCATCTAAACTATACTTAACTAATTTATACTTTTGTAACTTCTTCCACTGAAAAGAGGTCTACACCAGTACTCTCTCAAATTATACTTTTTTTAAATTGAGTGTATGTCAGGGGGGCAATCTTTCAAATGAATTCCTTCATAAGATGAACAACAGGTCATTTGAACGAAACTTTAAAACCAGAACTAATATCAGATCATTCTGAAGCAATATATACAAGTATGTATTCTTTAGATCTTTCTATGATTTGTAATTTTTTTTTAAAAAAAGCATATTTTTAAGACTGGTCATAATACAGAAGCATTATGTGAGTGAAATACAGTATTGTCCTAATCACTCAGCAACTTTATTAAGGAAATAGTTACTGAAACAGTCAATCCTTGTATGTTTCTATTTCTTTTAGCAGTCTCTTGTGTACAAGCTGTGGAAATGTTAACAAAGCACCTGTTATCACAGAACATTGTACAGTATGTTCTCTAACATAAATAAAAACAAGTTGTGTATCTAAATAAATAACATGTTCCCTGGTCCCAATCAGTAAATTGGATAATGACTGAAATGTGACTATTTGAAAAAGAAAAGGTCTTAAAAATGAAAATGAAAATTGTTGCAAGAATTCTCTAATTAGCAAACATTTATATGACTGATGTGCTCATGTCAGAGAAATACAGAGCTGCAGCCATCATTACCTATTTTATTGGGATTGATTTTAAATGATTGTACATACCAAAGTTTCCATCTTCTGAACATACCTAAGGGTTATCATATAATCATTTGGAAGATTTCCAACCTAGAACAAATAGGTAATAAATAACATATTAGTGTTTGATAGAAAATTAAAGTTTTGTTTTAGTCAGTGTAGTTAATACAAATGTTTATACAGTATTTGACACAAATTCTAGAACTTATTTACCAGTTGCAATAACTTAACAGGTTAGTTTTTAGGGACTGTACATAAAAACATAAAAATGGCCATTCTGGGTCATAACCCAAGGTCCATATAGCTCATTATCGTGTCTTCTGATAGGGGCCACTGTCAGGTTTCCCAGGGTATGTCTACACTACCACCCTAGTTCGAACTAGGGTGGTAATGTAGGCAACCGGCTTCATGCAAATGAAGCCCGTGATTTGACTTTCCCGGCTTCATTTGCAGAAAGCCAGGTGCTGCCATTTATAAATGTCCACTCGTGCGGACTCCGTGCCGCGCGGCTACACGCAGCACGGACTAGGTAGTTCGGACTAGGCTTCCTAGTCCGAACTACCTAGTCCGTGCCGCGTATAGCCGTGCGGCACAGAGTCCGCACTAGCGGACATTTAAAAATGGCGGCGCCCGGCTTTATGCAAATGAAGCCCGGGAAATTCAAATCCCGGGCTTCCTTTGCAACTCCGGTTGCCTACATTACCACCCTAGTTCGAACTAGGGTGGTAGTGTAGACATACCCCCAGAGAGAATGAACAGAACTGATGATCCATCCCCGTCACCCATTCCCACCTTCTGGGAAAGAGAAGATGGAGACACTCTCTCTTGTATTCACAGACAGCAATCTTATCTTCATTCAGCCTCCTTTTCATTAGACTTAAAAGAGCTTGGCTTGTGAGTCTTTTCTCATAAAGATTGGTTTTATTTTCCTTGTATCATTTTTGGTAGCCTTTCTCTGCACCTGTTCTACTTTGAATTAATCCTTCTTAAACACTAGAGACAAGAACTGCACACAGCATTCCCCATGTGCTCTCACCACTGCCTTGTATAATGGTACTAATACTTCCCTGTCTCTTCTGGAAGTACCATGCTTGATGCAACCTAAGGCTGCATCCGCTTTTTTCACAGCTGCATCACACTGGTGGCTCACAGTCATTTTGTAATCAATCATCCCATGCTCGTTTTTCTCTTCCTCTGTTGCTTCCAACTGATAAAGCCCCATCTTATAGCAAAAAATTGTTGTTAGCGGCTAAACATAAGACCCTGCACTTTGCACTATTACATTTAATCTCATTTCTATTTCTCCATCTTACAAGCTTATCCAGATCTTCTTGCATGACATTCTGGGCCACAACTTTGTATCGCCCACAAATTTTATGAACATGTTCCTGTTAGGATATAGATACTCGGGCCTGCTTATAAAGGTCTATATTTTAAGAATTCTGGTGTATTCTTGCAGAGGTATAAAAACAAAGAATCAAAATCACAGGTTATCTGTGTGTGCTGGTCTGAGGCCTTGTTCTTAAGCTAAGGCTTTTGGCTATGCAGGAGGAGCTTTCAAACTAGTTATACTGAAATAAGGCACATTATTAATAGTTGGGGTTGTGTGATCCTCATTTCTTTATTGCTTTGTTATTGCTCCCCATCTCTCTATTGTTTATCTCTATTATTCTGTCTGGTTCTTGATTGCTTAGGTTTGCTATATAATTAATGTTGCTGGTATAAACCAAGTAAGGTGGTGGGATATAATTGATTAGATAATCATGTTACAATGTTAGGATTAGTTACATAAATTTCAGTAGAATGATTGGTTGAGGTATACCTGAGAGAAAAAAATATATTATTTTTATTATATATGTGACAAACAGGAAGAGGGCGGGGAAAAAACAAGGTAAAAATGAAAGGAAATTGGATTCATGCTTGCTGGAAGATAACCCCAATAAATATCAAATTGTTTGCATCTCTGGACTTCGGATATTGCTGTTCCCTGTTCATGTGAGAAGAACTGGGGAAGTGAAAGTGTGAAGTGATAAGCCCTCTAACAATTCCCATGTTTTGTGCCAAGGTCATTAACAAAAAACTGCATTAAGATTGGTTCCAAGACTGATCCCCAAGGAACTCTACCAATAACCTACCTCTAGCCTAAGTTCACCTTTCACTACAACTTTCTGTATTTACCGTTACCCATTCCGTTACCCACTTTTCAATTCTCTTATTAATCCCCATATTCTCCAGTTTAACTAATAATTTCACATATGGAATTGTATAAAATGCCTGACTGAAATCCAAGATTAGATCCTCTGCATTTCCTTTCTCTCTTAAAAACAACAACAACAAAACCCAGTAATCTTAAAGAAAAAAAATCAGGTTAGTCTGGCATGATCTATCATTTGTAAAACCATGTTGTATTTTATCCCAATTATTGTCCAACTCTGTCCTTAATTACGTTCTCTTTCAAACTTTGTTCCAAGACCTTGCATACAATTCAAGTCAAACTAACAGGTCTGTAGTCTACTGGACCACTTTTTCCACTTTCCTAAATACACTATACTATAGTTGCAGTATTGAAGCACTGGAAATGGGTGGAACCTCCATCCTAAGAGGTTTTAAATCCTGGATTGACAAAGCCCTGGCTGGAATGATTTAGTTGGGATTGGTTCTGTTTTTAGCAGAGGGTTAGACTCAATGGTCTCCTGACGTCTCTTTCAGCCCTATTAATAGGGTATGACCCTATTTCATACCCTAGCAATAGGGTATGACCCCGGAGCTCACAGATTCATTAAAAATTCCTTGTTATTGGGCTTGCATTTAGTGTGTCAGTTCCTTTAATACTGTTAGATGGAAATTATCCAGGCTCTTTGATTAAGTTCCATTAATGTCTTTTGAGTTTGACTTTCACTTCAGATGTTGTCATTTCTAGCTCCATGCCCATGTTGCCATTGGTTACTCAGCCACTCCCCCTAATCTCTTCATTAGCCTCATTAAAAACTAATCAGGCAAAGTATGTGTTTTAGTGTTGGGCCATGCCTAGATTATCTTTAATCTTCATCTCATCCTCAGTGCTTGGAAGTCTGACTTTTTTCCTTATTTTCTTTATGTATATGGCAGCTGAAAGTTTTACTATGGGTCTTAATTCCCTTTGCAAGGTCCAATGCTGCTTGGTTTTTGGCAGTTCCCACTTTATCCCTATACGTTTTGAGCGACAAGAGATAGCTTTGCAAATCCCTCCATCTTCCAGCCCTTGTAGGCTTTCTGCTTTCTCAATCACCCATTTGAAACAGTTGCTCATCCAGCTTGTTCTGCAACCCTCTCCTATGTATTTTTTCCCCATTGTTTGGGATGCAGGCTTCAGATAGCTTCCCCATCTTAAAGTAATTCTAAGCCTTCCCACATTTTAGATTCTTGAGTTCTTTGGTACAGTCTATGTCCTTAACAAATTCCCTTAATGTTTCAAAGTTTGCTCTTTTAAAATCAAGAGCCCTTCTTGCAGATCTGTTTTTATTTATCCTTCCATTAAATTTAAACTGAATTAACTTGTGATCATTCAAACTAAAGTTGTCTCTAGAACCAGTTCTATGAAGTCTCACTATTTACCAATACCAAATATAAAATGACATCTTTTTGGGTTAGCAACTATTTGTTGTAGAAATCTATCAGCTATGACATCCAAAAAAATCTGAACCCTACTATTATTAGTACTACTTGTCCTCCGATCTATATCTGGGAAATGAAGGCCCCATAATTAGACAACATTTTATTAAAAACATTAGTGTGATCTTTATCTATAGCCAAATTGAATCCTAATGGTCTATAAAGCATCCCAAACACTATGTAGGAGGAATCTCTACTAGCTTTCTTCCCCAAAGAAATCTTGGCCCTAATAGGTTCTCTAATCCATTCTTATTTATTTACAGTCATATCATCAATATACAATGCTACTCCTCCACCTTTGTCTTTATTTCTGTCTTTCCTAACCACATATCCTTAAATACCTGTACTTCAGTCATGTCTACTATTCCACCATTCTTCTGTTATCTCTATAATATGTGGTTTCATGTCCTGCTTATTTGCTATGCTTAGGGATACAGCATTAGCAGCATTTTTAAGCAACACAGATTCTGAAGTTGCTTCTGCTGGTGCAAAATTTCCATGCATAATCTACAGGGATTTGATACTTAGCACAGTCAGCAATAGTATATTATTTTAAGAAAGGTCAGTTCCAGATTAAATTTGTTTCACATCAATGAACACTACAAGAACTGACATGCATTATGTATATAGTCTACTTAACTGGCATCAAAGCTTGTCAAGCACTTTTCATGCACAGTTAAAAAAAATAAATGGCTAACCTATATATTTACTGAGAAATCACATCCATAAAAAAGCCTAAAGACACCAGTTTAGCATTAGACATTTTTCTCTACAATTGACCCATAGATCAAAAAAATACAGCAGAATTTGTATATAAAAAACTAAATTTGGGGATAGCCGAATCAGAGCACACGTTCTCACTCTGACATAAAGAACTTTTACTAATACTTATTTATTAATTCCCTGAACCAGATCTTTCACTGGTCCAAAATGGCATAGCACAACTGAAGCCAGTGGAGCTATGCTCTGGCCAGGTTGGCATGGAACGCTATCGATCTATAGGAAGACAGAATAGACTATATCTGTATCAAATTATTAATTCCATTTTGTATTATGTATTGAACATCTGACTGAACTTGCCAAAGGCAAGCCTATGGATCTGCATTCCAAGCAGTTGCCTTGTCTAGGAAAGGGGTTTCATAGTTCAGCAAAGGACTGTCAACGAGGAGCCATCAACTTGATTGCCTTTGAATTGCTGATCCACTCCCATGAGACTGAAAAAAAACAAAACAAAACAAAACAAAACAAAACAAAACAAAACAAAAAGAACAGGGATCCAAAGAGGCTAGGCAAGCATGATAGGTGGAGGAGCTTGAGCATCCTAGTGGAGTACACAGAAATAAAACTGAGCTCTGATAACTTTAGAATAACTGTGTTGTTCAGGGACGTGAATAATCCACACCCCTGAGCAACAAGTTTATACTTACCTAAACACCAGT